TGTTTTACAACTATTTAGACATTTTCTATAATTTCCTTTTAGTTGGCTCGAAAGGAAGGGAGAAAGAAGTGGCAAATATGCAAAAAAGTGGGTGGTAAGTGTAACACCCTATATACTTTAGTGAATAAATTATAAATTAGAGTCTTTTATTTTAAAGTTTTAGAAATTAAATTAGTTAAATAAAAAGCTTGGGGATTTTAAGTGAAATTTAGTAGAAGTTAGGGGACATCGAACTTCATTATGTCTTTTTTGTGCCATGTAGCACAATATTTAGCAAGCAAACGATCTACAAGAGCTTCCTTTGGAAGATTTCATACCAAAACAAAACCCATTTCTTCCCACCTTTCAATTTTAGCCGAGTTGGCGTGTTGGGGCTATGTGGGGATATACTGTTTAGTTGGATTTTCTCTCAATTTTTGAAGTGTTCTCCTATTTGTTGCTTTGATTTTCATAGGTAAGTATGGCTTTTAGCTATGGATTTGGGTTAGAGTTTTGAGTAGATTACATATTTGCTATAATATACTAAGAATTGGTTTGGGTTAGTGAAATTTGATCTTAAATCCTTTATCTAAGAGACTTTTTAGGAATTAGAATTTTGTTAGAAATATATAAATTTTTGGGTACATGTGCGAGTCATGAGGAAACCTAACAGTCGGTTTTATTTGTATGCTTGAAATTAGTGTGAATTCAGTTGTCAAATATTTTTATTGTTCCCATGATTTCTTTGTGCATGTTGTGAATGATGATTTTCTTGGGAATTAGCACGATCAAACAAATCTATATTTTTTACTAGAAATTTAGGTGTTCTCTGTGATAGGATACTTGAGTGTTGTTGATCTGTGTTCATATGCATTAACTACATTGTTTAAGTAAAAAACCAATTTACAATTCTTAAGGGTGGAATCCATGAACCAAATGTAAGCATAAAGAAATTAATGTGAAATACTATGGCATGCAATTATTCAAGTGAATTAATAAATGGCATTATATTCCTATATTATTTTGGATGTGTTTTGAATATATTTAACATGTGTATGTGTTTGCGGCTCTGGAGTAAGTGGACTTAAGCTTAAAGCTTAGGGTATTCAATGGACCCTCAGGGGTAAATTAGTGGACCTTTATGCAATAAGGTAAGTGCTGTGACTAGCTTCAATACGTGTGTTGTTAGCACACATCAATGGACTCCATAATATTGTGTGATTTTTATTATATTCATTCTGATTGCGATATTCCATTTGTAAGCATATGGCTTTATGTTATGAATTTGAATTAATTGCCATTGGCTTTTCTTTGACATATTTGATTGTTTATGAATTATTTTGTAACATACTAAGTTGTTATTTAAATAATAAAACTTGTAATATTATGTAACTTGACTTAATTATATATTATGTCCTTTGAGTGACTAGGTCTAAGGGGTCTTAGGACCCAAATTTATAACTTTAACTTAATACTTACTAGACTTTTAGTTCATGTTATTTCCCCCTAATTTTATATTAGTAGATTGGAATAACAATCACCAAGCTTGGGAGCTTTTGGTGTAGGTCATGTATGCTCATCGTACTTTTGATATGCAAGCAAATCGATATGTTACCAAAATGATGGTTTTGTTTTTATTATTTTGGAAAGCTTTTGAAGATTATTTGCTCACATCTATTTTTGTGTAAATTGCTTTTATGTATATAATCTATAAATTAATGAAAATGAGTTCAGCCTAGTTATTTTACAACTTTGAACATTGTAACATTCTTTTATTTTCTTAGAATACTTTCATTAAATTAGTTTTCATTTATAGGTTGTTGATTTTCTTTCTATATAGTTTTAAAATGACATGCAAGTAGAGTCTTTTTCAAGGAGATATTTTATACTTTAGAAGTGCTTTACTTCTGTTGCATTATTTTTCTAAAGTTATTATTTAAGGACTCATGTGGAACTATAAATACCTTATAAATGGGTGTTACAAGTTATCCTATGAAAATAGGTGTACTAAGTTGGAGTACCGATCATTATGATGAATCTACTAATGGTCAGATCCTTCATTAAAGTTTAGATCTTATAGAGAAGCAAATTCAGCACCATCAATTTCGAGTAAGTGACCTAGTTCTATGTAAAGTTGGGCTAACCAACATGTAATATCCCAAAATTTTCTAAAACCTTAAAATTTAGGTTAGGGACGTATGTGGTAGAAATTATTATTTTTGGGCCTAATAGCTAAAATTCACAAACCTAAAAAGGGGTTAAAAGTGAACTCTGGTATTTAAAGGGCTAAGATTGATTTTCCTTTTTTTCCTTACCCTTCTTGTGTGTTTCCTAGCTCCTCCCTAGAAATTCTGCAACCACAAGCCTTAACCTGCCTCAACTTTTTCTCGTCATAAGAAATAGGAAAAACTTAACTTTTTCTTCCTCTTCCTAGCAAGGTTTAGAGATCAATGAGCTTACGGTTTCAAAATGATGATGAAAAATCCAAATCTAGTTACTAATACCCTTCAATCTCCTGGTGTGTGTTGGGTTTGTTGTCCATAGAAATAGATCACCATTTGCCAGCACTTTCCAATAAGAAATCAACCACATGCTCATCTTTTCATCTTTGATTTGAATTGGGTTAACTACAATCTTTTAGGGTTTTCAAATTTGGGATTTTTTTGTAGTTCCCCTTGATTTTGTCCACAATCTAGCACCACCAGAAATTGAACCCTTTTTTGCTAGAAATTCTGATAGCATGACCATGCGGTAGGTTTTCGCCCATAACTCTTTTTGTAGATATCAGATTAAGTTCATTCTTGATTTTATGAAAACTTAAGAGATAGCCCTACAATTTTTATGTTAGACGTTTAACCCAGTTAAGTTGTTTTCAAGGTGAAAACTTTGCTGTAAGTTTCATTCCTATAGGTGGACGGAACTGGTAGCCTAACCTTATGTTAGTATTTTGACCATCTCTGTAGATGTCAGATTAACGTGATTCTTGATCCTATATAACGTTAACACATAGGGTTAGAATTGACTTGTTAACCATTCTACCCAGATTGGTCAATTTTTGGGTTAAGTGCAAATTCTATTGGAACTTTTTGTTCAAAATTTGACTAGAATTGCTCTCAAAAGTACCGAGAAATTTGTTGTGTTTTCTGCTTTATTCCCACAGTACCTACTACCATATTGCTTCATGGTTTTACTAGATTTTTAGCTTTTGTTTTGGTTGCCTTTTTGCTATTGCATTTTGCTTGAATGCTGCCCAGTTTTGGCTTGTCTTCTACACTGTTTTGCTGTTGTTTTTGCCCATAAATCCTTACTATTTTTGCCTAGAAAATCCCTATTGTTTAGGGCTTTTTCCAAGCATTTTGGGACTATTGTAAACAATAAAAATCCCCACTTGACTACCTAGCTTTTGTACTATTGCTTTGGGGTAGTTTTACGATTGGTTTCTCATATTTTTTTCACTTTGTTTTGTCCAACAAATTTGCCTAGTAAAACTTGCCATATGTAGGGTCTTTTGGTGTTATTTAGGCATGTTTTAAATATGATTATGCAAAGGAATATATATATATACATATATTAATAGGGTTTCAATGGGTAGAAGTGACCAAGAAGTGTAGAAGGAAGTTGTTTTTTTAATTAGGAACTTGATTTTGAAATTTGGAACCAAATTAGTTAAATAGAGTATGTTGTAATCTTGTTTATTCATTTGATATGGTATGGGTTCTAAATCACCTCAACAGCCTTAAGTTCTTGAATTCCTTGCTTGTTGTATACTTACAAGGCGAGATAAGTAAAACTTATGGTAAATGCCCTTGGATTTTAAGATAAAGGTTTTAAATGCATATTTTGAACTATCTTTGAAATTGTGGCAAGACCTAAACTGATTTTTATTAGCACATAAGCATAAAGGGTTTGAAATGAAGTTATCATTTTTATTGAGTTGAGTATACTTACATGGAGTTTACTTGTTTGTTCTGGAAATCTGAAAATTGGTTTGTAAGTTATGACCTTCTTGTTAACTCCTGCATATTTGTAAATTATGGATTTTCTTATTGAACTCCTATATGGTTTTGTCTCCAATATGGTCATGATTATTGACGCCCAGCAATGGGAGTTGTAAACGTTGGCACATGTCGACATGTATATCTATAGGATCGATTCATTCTGTATTCCTGTCATTCTTGTTAGTGGGATAGTACACTGGCTATTACTGACACCAGTGGAAGTTTGTTAAACACTGGCTATAATTAATTAAGGAGACCACTATTGAGTTTTTCTTTGCATTAATGGTTTATAACTGAGATTTTTACCTTGGTTGATGTTTTAAATTATTTATTTGGTATGCTTTAACTTTAAATAAGGACTATTCATATTTTTACTTACTGTGTTATCTCATATAGTGTTTTTTCCTTGTCCACCATTTCAGGTAGTGAGACTAAGGACGTGGGAAACCAAGGAGAGTGACGAGCCAAAAGGCTAGCCACATATATTTTGTACTTAGTTCATTTTGGAGATAGACCCACTAGACTAATCGTATTGGATATAGATTTTTGAGAAATAGATCATTCATTTGCAGGCTAAATTCCTTTAGAGCTAGGCATGACCTTATAGGTGGAATTGTATATTCTGTGCACTTTTTGACCTGGTCAAGCCTTGGTTATAAAGTTAGATATTATTTTAAGATTGTGGATCTTCATTTAGTGGATTGCCAAATATGAATTAAGCAGCTTCCAAGCCTTGTGCATTTGTGGGATCTTTTCACAAGTGCATGACGTCTGTTTCATTCCCTGTTTTGGGGTGTGACACAACATCTACCAACATTTAGGCAATCTCACCCCTAATTGGGTTGGTCCTTACAAGGTGGTCACCATCTGACGACTTAGATCTTATATTTTAAAAAAACAATGAAGGTCATCATTTACCATTCACATGAAACATAGGCAATTTATGGAAATTTTATAGTTAGCTTTTTGGTAGCTATTATGATGTATGATTGTATAACATTATAAATACAAATCATAATTATCAACATTTTCGCCTTTTTATTGATTTTGTGTTTCATCTTTGCTACATTTTTCCCTACCAGGTTAAACAAAAACTACAAAATTAAGCACCATATGCAACAAATGAGAAGGCAGAGAATAAGAGGTTCTAGCCTCTAAACCCAACCTTCTAGCCACCCAATCAGTATAACCCTTAGAGGGGTCATGCTTCTCACCATTACCGAATAGGATATGAGGGAACAAAGGTGCATTCTCTTCATCCAAGCTCCACTTCACATTGACACGATCTCAAATGGTGGAGCTAAACTCTGCCTTTGTTCATCGATCTCCTCACCCTTGATGAAGGCGAGCTCTCTAATGGAAAAGTCAGGCCGATGTTGCAAAACTTTGCCATGAACTTCATTATAGATAGCAATGGTGTTGTTCATGGTTGCAATGGTAATTGCCTTTTAAAAAGCTTCCGACCTCAATAACCTTTTCACCCCTTAAGCTCGAACCATGTTCATAAAGTTGTGGAATGCGCCTTTTAGCTTGCCTAGCTTAGCCTAGACACTTTCCAACAATTGCCTGACCTCAGTAAATTTCGCTTTGATACTGCCCAAGTTGTTGAGGGCTTTGTCTCTCTTTTCCTTAGTTTTTTTGGCCTTCTCCATAGCATTTGCTACCTAGAGTTCGGCGTTCTTTATTACCTTTGAGATTTTTCCCTTTCTCTCAGCCTTATTCTTCTCCAACTCCTCTTTAAGCTGTGCCACTTGGTTGGTGAGCTGGTCAACCTTGTTCTCCACAACAACAGCTTGGTTAGCCATCTCTAAGCTTTACAGACAGTTCACCTCTTCCATCAGGCTGGTTTTGTTAGCAAGCAGGTTCTTGAAGTCATTTGCAAAATTATTACCAACTGACAAATAACTTGCTTGTGCTCATAAAGCACCCTTACGTAGTTGACCACTTGTGCTTTAAGTTGTCATATCAATTCTCTTTGCACAAAAAAAATATAAACAAAGATAACTAAAATTTTACTTACATCCATTATTGTGGCCATAACGATGTTAGTGCCATTCTTTTAAATAAAATCCTATCCCCTTTTACGGTCAAGGGGAGGAATGAATTGACGTATAGCCTGCATCACGACCCTATACAAATCTTGGTTCAGGTAGCTAAACCAATCCTAATGTGCAATCTTGGGTGCAACCCATTGCATATAGGGAGTGCTTTCTTGATTTTCAATGTCAGGTGCAATGGGTTCCTTCCCAAGCCAATAGTAGGAAAAAATAGACTCTTCTTTTATCTCCTTTTCCTCCTATGCCCTCCTTCAGGATTTACTAGTGGTGGTTACCTTAACAGGAGCTATGGTTTGTGTGCTAGCTCGCTTATCAATCGGTTACCTTCTAACTAAGCTAATGGTTGATTGTACTTCTGTTAAGACAAGCTGCATATGGTAGGTTATGTGCAATCCTGTAACTTGTTGGCAAACTTGAGAGTAGCTCGTCAAAACACAAGAGTCTTTTGGATATATAGCGTAGGCCTATGGCTTGCAAGTTAGGTCCCCTATGTCTTGATCTAAATCATTGAAGAGCTTATTCACATTGTACTTTCAACTCATGTGTCATGCTTTTTGCATAAGTAAAAACAAGTAAGACTCAGATCAGTGGAGATTTTTCACTACTAATATATATATATATATATTTAAGGAGTGGAGATTTTTCACATCCACCAGCACAAATGCTTTCAAGTGGGTGAGGGTAACAAGCTTCTCCTGATCTACTATTCCTTCCTTTTTAATGCAGTTAAGGATTCTCCTTCTAATGTCTACATTAATAGATCCAAGGATGTGATAAGTCATGTACATGCTTAGAGCCCTCCACTCTAAAAGACAATTAGCAAGTTTGTTATTAATTCACTCTATCTTTGTATTGCGCACAAAAAAGTAGCCTTTTACTATGAGGCAACTTTACTTTTGATAGTGTGGAAAATGGTCATTTTATTCTTTCTTGAGATGTAGAACCCCATTGTTTTCTTTCTAATTTGCCTGCATTGAAACAACAATTAGAAAACTATTGATGTTATACACACCCCCAAGGTTGCACTTAATAATACGAACTTAATGATGAATTTCACCAAGTTAGAAGTCAATGTGTGTTAATGTCAAGCCATAGTCTGCCAGCACATCAAAAACCATCCTTGGCAACGAAAATCTCAAGGGAGCCTCAAATTTGTCCAAGAACATAGGAATCCACCCATTTGTAAATACCGAGCAAGCCTTTTGTTTGTAGATGCCACTTGGGCTAACACGATGCTAGGGATTCAGTATGTTTCACCATTGATTGTAGCTTCCTCTGCCCTTGCATCATGGCTTTGACATTTGCTACCTCATGGTGAAAGGCGACTTTGAGTTTGAACTTTGTCACCAAGTCCGTCGATATTAAGCTAAGATTGTTCACCAAATTTGTATTAGGTGGCACCTTTTCCCAGCCTCTTCCAATAGATGGGTTTTCCTTTTCTCCTTCTTCACCTTCCTTAGTCATGTCTGTTTCCTCTGACGATGAATTGGTGCTGCTCTTTGTATCTATAGTTTCCCTAATGTCTAGCTTCTCTTATAGTTCTATGGCACCACCATCGCAATGGGTGTAGAATCACCTTTTCAACCCAACCCTCGTGGTTACCTCTTCCTTGTTGTTAAGCATTGCTAAACGAATCCATGATTACTTGTTTGTTCTTGTTGTTATTTTGTTCTTGCTCTTATGTCAATCTCAGAAACTTACAAAATCAAGCAAAAACAACAAGCACAAAGAGAGCAACTGTAGAGGCAAGTGATTCAAATGCCTGGTGTAATTGTTCTAATTCCCAATTACCCCTTTTTAATAACTGGATTATGTGTATCTTAGTGATGGTACCCACACCCCTCTTATAGCCAATCTAAGTGCTCTAAGTGGCAATCATCCACTATTTCCAATTTATAGCAAAATGACCTTTACTTCTCTTTACTGTTCACACCCTTTAAAATGTTGTGTAAGCATTTAATGCAGGGGCAGTAAAAAGGAAAACTTATTCAAATTTCAAGGGTGTGGAGAGATGAATTCGTATGGCTTTGAAATCAATGACATATGTAGCTCCACATTAGCAAAGGCCCACATAACTTATTCTTCGCATTAAACACGTTATTCTTATATTCTGCTAATTACTGCAACAAAGTCAGTATTGCCAGAAGTGGCATTCATCTACTTCGCTGGAAATATTGTGAAATGCAACCCATTCCAACATCCATTTTTATATACATGGCTAGACATGGCTAGATCTATTTCCACAACATGGCTAGACGTTTTTTACGGTCATGTCCCTCGTAACGATATTCACTGCTATATCTTACGGCTTCCAACATTGGACAAAGGGCCAGATTCATTATCTTATTTACCTTCTAGCAATGGGTAAAAGGCTACATATCTCCGCATATCTTCATCACACCAACTCCCAACAACGAACAAAGGGTTAGATTTCTACATATTTTATCTCACTAGCTCCTAGAAATGGACAAAGAGTCAATGCCGCTCGATATGATTAGCATGAGACCAGTAACAGTTGCAACCCTATGATCAAACGGGATAGCTACCCTCCAGCAATAAAAATCCATCTAGTAACGGTCGGTGGTCCCTTGGTCGTTGCCCGTGCATGGTGGTGCGATGCTCGACGGGCAACAATAACCAAGATCACCCTCTGATGATGTGGGTATAGCAAGAAGGGCCAACTTTTGTTAATGGTATCACACCTTGTCATGTCGAAGGCTATGGATGCAACTAGTGTCATCCTTCCATGGAGACAACTCCACCTCTCTCTATTACATATTCATCACTATGGCGAAGTCTGGCTTAGTGAGATTTACTCCTTTGTAACTTGGCGGATTAATGGGAATACTCTTTTGATTCCACGTAGTTCATGCTCCGACCACGGGCAAAGTTGGCCATTGTTGTCCCTTTGGCTATAAGGAAGCTATTCATAGCTAACCCTACAATATTTACACGGTTGACCACCATGCATATCATTATTTTCTCACACAAAAGGACAAAATTATCTGTCACTGGTAATCTTGACTCATAACATAAATCTTTTATGCTTTACGTGTTAGTAGGTATCGTTGGCCAACGATGCTTGGCTCGGGACAACGATATCGCAACTCACATCTATATCACTTATTCTTTATCTTAGCGCCATGTCAGCCATACATAACAACATTGTATAAGCAGTCGCCATGGCTAGCACATAAAAGGGTGCAGCCAAAAATTCATCTAGATCACTCCTTTAATACACAAGGAAGTACCCTTCTTCGTTGCACATATCCATACGTCTTACACTTAAATATTTGAATATATACTCACTCTTATCTTGCTTTCATCATAGATAAATGCAAGCCCGTGAATCCAAACTCATGGGAACTACTTGGGATAAACTATGGGAGTGGTGGCTTGGTCGGCATAGATGGGTGAATGCTGTTCATCTAGTGAAGGTATTCGCGACAACGAAGCTTGGCATTGGCAATGTTGCTTGATTTCGCCAAAGAAGGCTGGGTGGTGAAAAGGTAGAAGTGGAACCAATCCCCAAAAAATGTACCATCTGATGCTAATTAGAAGTTCAAAATACTGTTAAAAACTAACCAGAGATTCTACTTTGGTCACCATCAACAACTTGCAACCATATTCAACGCAAAGGTGACTGCACAAGTTTATAGCCTTGGAAGCTGTTAAAAAAGATTGCATTTTGCTTGGGGAATTTTCTAGAATCATAGGCAAATTTTATGTTTGCTGACTGCACTCAAATATCCCCCCAAAAATGGAAGTTCATATGGTTGGAGGAATTACCAAGAGCAGTTAATTTCCAATCCTTCGCTAGAACCATTGGGTAATTCATGATAACACTACTAGAAAGCTATCAAAAGTGTCCAAAGCCACTAAAAGCTTGCTTGTTAGCCATTGCACACCCTTGACTCATTAACCCCAAAATTACAAAATTGTCATTGCACATGTATATATTATTCCTTCATTTTTCAATAGACAACAATGGATTTTTCAACAACTCCAACTTCCTTCCCCTCGCACTAGATCTCCATTGTTTCTCTAAAAAATTCCTCATCTTCAACCTCTCACCATATACACCAAAATCACCCAAAAATTACCATTTTCTTCATATTTTCTACACCTCTAGCATTGTAGTGCAGAGTGGTTTCCAGACTACAACACATCATGGCTGGGAAGCAGCATGATTCAGTTTCACTTTTTGGGTAATTTTTCTTAAGCATCAAAAGATCAAGTTGCAAGGTTAACATAAAAAATGGGATTGAGCACTCCACTCACAAGCCCCTAAGTGATCATCCTTCTTTCTCCCATCACCACTTAAAGTTTATTCTTTTTGTTCTTGAAAGAGCTTCAAGAAAGGGATCGTTGTGTTTTCCATTCACAACATGAGGGCTCTTCGTTGTAGAGTGAAAATAATTACTAAAGATGGTAAAGGGCACATTTATTATCATTATTATTATATCACAATATTTTATATATAAGTGTGCTTCTCAACTTGTAACTCTTGACCCTTATGTATTTTCTATCCTTGCTACTCTTACGACAACGTACACCTTCTTTGCACTATTTTTGATACTTGTATAGTCACTCCTAGTTCTTGAAATTCTATCATTGTCACCTAGCTCCTCCGGCTTGGTTGGAGCATTTGCACTTTCAAACTTTGTTGGAGAGTTTGTTGTTGGATATCATCGTTGGACATCTTCGTTGGACAGAACAACATGGCTTGTAGCACATAACCTTTTGCATGTGAAACTTTCCTCTTTCAATCAACTTTCTGGTGACTTCTCCTAGTTTTGGAAGTGTTGCCGAAAAATTTTTATTTCTTTTCTTTTCTTTTCTTTGGGGGTGGGCCTTTTCCTTATGTTTTGGGCCAAAAAAAGAAGAAAGAAAGAAATGATGAATTGAATTGAGCCTTCGCTCTTAGGCCCATCGGGTTTTCTTTAGTTTGACCAAATTTTCAAAATCCCTTTTAATTAATGTGAAAGATTAATTAAAATGACTAATTTTAATTACTCTTAATTGATTGTTTTAACTGGTTTTAATTGTTTAAGCTAATTAGAACCTTATTAAGGTAGTCAATTATTTTTAATTAATCTTAATCAATTTTGATTAATGACTCATGAGATTTAATTACAACTCAATAACCATTGATCCCAATTTTTATTAAAAAAGATAAAATCTTTTGTTACCACCTCCAGTTGATTTTTATTTAAATATTTTTAATTAATACACTTTTATTGACTTTGGCCCTCCATTAAACATTGAGATTTTACACATATAAGAATATTACTTTTTAAAATTTTTCTAATTAAGGGTATCATTTTTTTATTGAACTAATTAAGGTTATCACCTTTAAAAAATTTCTAAACAAGGATATCACCTTTTCAACTTTACCATTTAAGGATTAATTGAATGTCCATGTAAAGGTCAAGATTTGATTGGGTCAAGATTGTAAAGATCAAGTAAATATTTTCAAAGTTTTTATTTTGTGATCCGTCCTATGATCTCTTAATCTCTCTATATTTGGCCCCCATATTTTACAAAAATTTCAATTTTAACCAAATCTTTTCCCATTTTTGTAAATAAATCCCTCATTTTCCACAAAAATTCAATTTCACTCACCATTTTTCAAATTGAGTCAAATAAGACTGAACATAAAATAAGTTGAGCATGCAATCAATCATGTTTTTCATGGAGCTTGTGGGGTACATGTATGCCTTTTCCCATGCCTAACCGTACCCTAGAACTTTAATATCTGCATAACCCATTTTAAGTGACTTATTCCACCTTATAATTTGGATAAGTAACAACTCCCATTTTGATCATTAAAAACTTAATCTTTCAAATTCAAACTTAATTTTTGAAATTTCAAGTGAATCATCAACACAAGGCAGTCTAATGCTATGAGGATTCAGCACTATAGCTAGAGACCTTTAGTTGATTATTCGTGAGATTACCCTTGTGCAATAGGTGGCACTAGCATTAGTTAGGTATCAATATAGTTATCACACTTTAGTTGGACTCCATGGTTATAGTTGTCTTTTGTGACTTCCATTTTTGCTAATTTGTATGATTCTTATTTTTGTATGAATTTTTGTTTATCCGATGTTGTTTATTTCAAATTCAGTTATTCCCCTATACTTATACATACTCAACTTTTAGCTTATCTCATCTTCTTTCTTTCCCCTTCTTCGTTGAAAGACTCAAGAAATGACTTTCAAAATAAAGGTTAGACTCTTTGGTGGCAAGCAAAGTCAAATCATTATATTACCAAAACTATGCTCCTGGCTACATGTTTACAAAAAATTAAATCACTAAGTAACAAGTTTTGTAAAGTTTTCCTTTTAAACATATTGGTTTTAAATTGAGCATCATTAAATAGGTTTTAAAAAATCAACTATGCGTTTAAAAGGCATTGCAGTTTGTTTGCAAGTTGTGGTGTGACTCTAAGCATAACTGTAAACTAATTGTGGGAGGTATTATAGAATGACTAGCAAAACACTCTTCCATGTAGAGGAATGCTAAGCACACTATGTTTAACACCCTCCTTTGGACACTTTCTATTTAATTGGGACACATGTGACATAAATTTAATATGATTGGTTATAATCTTAAATTTTAAAAACATTAACTTTAATGTCAATCACTAATTACCAATCACAATAAATTTGTGTTCCACATAGCCCAATTACATAAAGAGTATTAGAGAGAGTGTCCCTCCCTAACACTCTTCTACATATATGTATATATATATATAGATATATATATATATATATATATATGGAAAAGTATCTTGTCAGCTAGATCTCTAAAACATTAGGAAGAAAAAGGCCCCAAAATGATGTCATTTCAATAAACTCTCATTGGAAATGGCTAAAATAGCTAAATTTTAAACCAAGAATGAGTTTATTTGGGTTTTTTCCTGTGATATTTTAATAAAATAATGTAGTTTTGAGATATATTTCTTAAATTTTCTAAGACCTAGTTAATAAACACTAATCACATATAAATAAATAAATAAAGGATTTTTTTATAACTTGTACTTTAAAGATATAGATTAATAATGTAATTATTAAACCTTTTTCTCATTAGTTACTATTGAAAAAATAAAAGTTTATCTTTATTTAAGTAATTGTCTAATTAAAATAATCTACATGGTACTAGTAATGAAATTGATGGTAACATTTGTTTGTCTTAATAATAATTAATGTAAAAAGAGTACAATAATTGCACTCAAACCTATAAATAAATATAATTTAAGTATATAGACTAGGTATATGGACTAGATATATATATATATATATAAATATGCGTCACATATGTAAGTATGAAGTCTCATACCCAATATTTAATCCGATGTTTAACAGATATGTATTTTTTACACCATCTCTTTTTAAGTACAGGTAAATTACATACTTATACTCGATGCTCATCCTAGCAAACGCCATGCTTCCAATTTCAATTTCATTTAATTTTAGTAGATTTATTTTTTTAATAAAATAAAAATATAAAAATTAATTGATAAAATTTCATATTTATCCTTAATTAATCATTATATAAATAGACTCTTTTTTTTTATATGTTGTAATTGTTTTTTAAAAATAAGTACAAAATAAAAATAGATATATTAAGTGACATTTTAAAAAAGAATAATAAATAACTAAATTAAAGCATCTTAAATTAATAATTAAATCTATTAAACTTGAACAGGTGGGAGTATCATTTTTTCTCTTAGTGATATGGGACTTTTGCCATTCTACATTTTAAACTATTTCAAAATAACAAATAGAAAAAATTGCCATGCATGGCTGGAGGGTAACGGGTTGCATCCACAAGTCCAAGTTCGGATCTAGAAGCATCACGCTTTCGATGGCGTGAGTGTGGCTCTCGGTTTTGGGTAATAGTGTAATTCCCTTGGGTTGATTTCTTAGGAGTCTATTTTGTAAAAGTAGGATAATAATAAGGGTTGGAGCCCGGGGAACACATAGAATGCACCGCACACTCATGTCCACAATATTAAAAGTTAGAGACTCAAGTTGAATGTTTTAGAGTGCGTTTGGGCATTATTGTGACGGTAATTGTATTGTAATTGTAATTTTGGTTATAATTATATTAAATTAATTTATATTATAATTATGATTAAAAATTATTTTAGTATTTAATTATTTAATTTTTAAAAGTATTGTAAATGATATATGATAAATTTTATTAATTATTAATTAAAATTTAAAAAATATTGTACAATTTATAATTATTAAAATTGACAAAATTTACTACTTGATAATTTAAGTTTTTTAAGTTTTATATGATGAGTGTTCTTTTAGGTTTCATGATAAAGTAGCTTATAAAAAAGAAATGAATTTTTAATTTTTTAAGAAATTTTCAAATAAATAAGTAATTAAATTTAAATAAAATATTATAAATTATAATATAATTGAGTTAAACGAAATTAAATTTTAATGAGTAATTTTATAATTGTATTAAATATTAAGTATTTTATATGAAAATACAACTAAAAAACTTCAAAATTAACCTTTTAGATTTATATATAAAATTATCGTGGAACTATAACTTTCTATAATTTTTTAAAAATAATACAAAAAAATTAAAAAACACATATAAATCTAAAAATAATATATCATTACAAAAAATGACTTCAACTCGCAATCTCAAACACATCTTTATTTTCAAATTTGTACAAACAACCAAAGGCCAACAAGAATGAAAAAAAAAAAACACTTGTACAAACAATAAAGTAAATTAAATTCAAATTCTCTACAAATAAACAAACCTTAAATACAGAAAAATGTTAACAACCAGGGCTAACTTGAACTTGTTTTCTTTTACATTCTAAAAATAGACAAAGATCTCCATCAGCCTCTATTTTACTGATTTAGAGTTCTGGCCATAAATGTTGCAATCATCAATCTCATACAATGCAGTCTTTGCCATCTTTCTTTTTCTTTCTTCCCTGTATATTTGTTTGCTGAAGGATAAAATTTATACCGAGAGACCCTCAAGGTTATACTGCATATCGAGTCTTTCTACAGTATGTTGACTTAGAACTTCTCTCCTATACAACTCGTTCAAAACTTCCGCTGCCAGTTTTGATTCCTGTTCATGAACCATTCCTCCCACCAAAATAGAGTAAGTTGTCTCGTTAGGAACATACCCTTTCTCTATCATCATCTCAAAAACCTTCAGGGCTAGATCAGTTCTCTGCACTTTGCAAAGTCCAAGAATAAGAGCATTGAAATTGTCAACATTTGGTCCTTGTTTGTTTTCTTCCATTATCATGAAAACTTCCATTGCCACATCCAACAATCCTTCTAAGCACAATCCTCTAATCAGAAATGAGTAGGTGTTAGAGTCAGGAGCAAATCCAACCTCAGTCATTTCATATAGAAGCTTAAATGCTGAATATGTATTCCCTTTTCTACACATGCTTGAAAGCACACTCTTGTAGAAGTCATGTGTAGTTACATTTTGTTTGTTTCCCAAACTTTGAATGATGGAGAATGCCTCTTGCACCTTTCCCTGCCCACATAAGGCTGCAATGGCATTATATGTTACTTCATTAGGCTTACAATGCCGATGGATCATTTCCTCTAGACACTTAACTACTAGATCGACCTTCCCCTCTTCACAAAGACGGGCAATTATGTGGTTATAGCTTGCAGCAGTGGCGTTAACATTTCCTCTAATCATTTCATCCAGAACCTGCAGAGCATGTTCAACTCTGCCATGGAAGGCAAGGGAACCAATTAATATATTGTAAGTAACAAATGAAGGAGAACGACCCTCACCATCCATCTCAGCCAAAAGCTCATTTGCTTCTTCCCATCGCCCCTCATAGCATAAATTCCTGAGCAAAATGTTATAACTCACTACATTTGGATCTAATCCCTTCGAAGGCAAATCCCTGAAGAACCTAATTGCTTCGTTGGTTCTCCCCTCCTTGCACAACCCAGTCAATAGAACATTATAACTAACCAAATCAAGCTTCCCACCCCTGGCAATGATCTCATCCAATAGCTTCATCGCCTCATCTACTCCTTTTTCCTTATAAGCAGCTTCAAGCAAGAACGAGTGAGTGAATGAATTAGGTATCAACCCCTTTTGCATAAACCTATCCACTAGTTGCAAGCCTTGCTTTAAGTTTCCATGAGTAGAAATCCCTCTCACAAGAGAATTATAGGTAACCATATCAGCGGGGTACCCATGATCCTCTATCTTTTCCACCAGCTGCATTGCATGTCCGATATTTCCTCTCTTGCACAAGAGGTTCACCAAGAAATTATAAGAAGCTGCATTCGGCATAACACCAGAATCAACCATCATCTCCATCACTCTAATTGCCTTTTTTGTCTTGTTGGCTTTGCACAGATCATATAAGAGGTTCGTGGCTTGAATCACATCAGGTTTCTGCCCTTTCCCCACCATCCTCTCCATGTGAAAGAAAGCATCGTTGAGCCTATGTTCCAAACTTTTGGACACACTCTTCTCTGACTTCCAATTGGGTAGGGCGAAAACAGAGTCCTTTGAAGAAATAGTATAGGGATTAGACGCCAAAACCCTGGTAAAACCCTTGTTCACTGAAAAAGAATTAAGATTTGGGATCTGAGAAAAGAAACCACAAGCTTTTCTCCTACTGTTTAGACAAGGCTTTGTGCTATAAGACACAGAGTTCACCACAGTTGTCATAGGTAATGAACACTGAAAATCCAAAGAAACCTAAATCTGAATTTTGGGGTTCCAGGGAGAGCTCACAACAAACAAAATTCACTAATTCTTCTAGATTCTAAAAACAAAAACTGCGCACTGTATCCGTTTGCATGAATAAAAAAATGGAGATGGAGTGAATTTGAGGCGTGGATTCTGTAAATATTTCCAATTTCAACCAAAGCAAAAAATCAAGAAACAGAGTAGAGGGAATGGAAGAATAACGTACGAGAGGAACTCGTGGGGATTTGGAACCAAAAATCCTTGTGAAGCGGAAGCTCTGTTCTACTCAGTTGGCTTCATACACAATTCAGTGATTCACTCCCGTTATCTACTTCCTCCAGGTGAAGGATTTCCTGTGATTTAAATCATGCCACCTCAGACCAAATCTGCCCTTATATAGCTTCACAAAATATTACATTTCTGTCTCTTCCTTTTTTAATAACTCGCTGTTTAAACTTCGTATTTTGCATCAATCTCTCTCTTAGCAAGTGTTAGAATTCCACTCGCTACAATATTATCCCAGTTATCCACCTTTCCCTAAAATTCTTTACGCCCCCTCCCCCCACCACCACACCACCCCCCCACCCCCCCCAAAAAAAAAAAAATCCTTATTTTATTTTTGGGTTAAACCCATCCTAATCCCTCAACTATTGGTGGGCCCTTGATTTAGTCCTAAAACTTAAAAAATTCCTGTTTTGGTCCCTACAATTTGAAAATATATCTCTTTTTTGGTCCCTCTATTAAATCTTTGCTGATATAGCTTGTTAATGGATGAAAGAAGCACGATGTGTCCCAAATTTTTTAGGTTAAATATCTTTTTTGGTCCCTCTACTATAAAAAAAAGCTCTTTTTTATCCTTACCGAAAAAATCCTTGTTTTGATTCTTACTGTTCACAAATCCGGCCCCTTTTTGGTATTTCCGTTAATTTTTGCTTACATGACACGTTAACTTAACTAGAACAGCTGACGTGGGTACGCCAACATGTAAAAGATGCTTACGTGGACTTATAACACCCTCCACATCACCCTCCAAGTCACCCTCCTCCACGTGAAAAAAGAAAAAAAAAAGTTAAATGCTAAATTTAGTCCCTCAACTTTATAGGTTTACATTTTTTTGTCTTTAAATTATGTTTTTCATTTTTATATTCTTCTTCTTCTTCCTCCCATCTTCTCTCTTATCCCTCCACCCCTTCCTCTTTCCCAACCATCTTCCTTCGCAAACCCAGCAAGGGGGTTCCATGAGGAACCCAAGACCTGGGTTCATGAAACCCAAATTTGGGTTCCTCGCGGAACCCAGCAGTAGCAGGATTCGCGAACCCAGCTACTGGGTTCGCGAAACCAGCAAGGAGCCTTGGATTCTTCTTCTTCTTCTTGATCGAACTCTGGGATCTTCGTTCGATTTCTGTTTATTTTCCTTTAGTTCTTTACCTTCTTTCTTTTGATTAAAATGCATTTTGTAGTTTAGATCGTGTTTTCCTTGAATGTGTTACGAAATCGTACTCAGTTTTGGTTGATTTGCTGTAGAATAGCTGGAAGTATATGGAGATGGAATTTGGAGAGTGTTTTGAGTTGATTAAGAGTCAAATTCTACTTTGTTTTAAGGAAAAAGAACCTAATATTCTTGATTTTTTGTTTTTAATGGATTGTTAATATTTGATTATTGAGGTAGTGGGGGATGATTTTGAGCTCGTTGAAGAGTATTTCGACAATAGTTTGCTGAATCTAGATGTCTACAATGCCTTGGAGAAGTGCTTGCAGTGGCCGCCTGGGTTCGTCATGAACCCAGGACGAACCCACCCAGCTTGCGCGTGGGTTCTCGATGTAGACGAGAACCCAGGCCCACTTGGGTTTGTCGTGAACTCAGGACGAACCCACCCAGGTCGCGCGGGTTCGTCGGGAACCCAGGCACGAGCTGGGTTGGTCTTGGGTTCGTGAAGAACCCAATCACGCACCTAGGTTCGTCAAGAACCCAAGATGAATCCACCCAAGCCTGGGTTCTTTACGAACCCATGAACAATGAATCCAGGTCACACCTGAGTTCACGACCTGGATTGGAGCTGGGTTCGCCTGGAGGTAAAAGAAAAAAAATAAAGCCCAGAGGAAGGAGAGGATGGGGAAGAAGATGGGGGTAAATTAATAATTTTTTCTTTTTCCATGCTGGGAGAGTGACATGGAGGGAGACGTGGAGGATATCATTAAATCCACGTAAGCATCTTTTACATGTTGGCATACCCACGTTAGCTGTTCCAATTAAGTTAACGTGCCATGTGAGCAAAAATTAACGGAAATACCAAAAAGGGACCGGATTTGTGAATAGTAAAGATCAAAAATAGGATTTTTTTGGTATAGGGATCAAAAAGGAGCTTTTTCTTATAGTGGAGGGACCAAAAAGAGTATTTAACCAATTTTTTATACATAAGATTAACAGAATGGGTAAATGAATGATATAGCAAAAATTTACAAGAAAATTACTATTTCACCCTTGCCTTCAACCTTTTGATCATTACCTTTACCTAAACCTGAACAACTAGAAATTCTCTTTCTCTCTCCTCCTTTCTTACAGATTAAGACCAAGCAATGGAAAAATGCACTTGAGAAGGTGTTCGTAGAATCATACAATCAATTATATTCGTGGCATCTTCGTAATAATGTTAAAAAATATCTTGTTGAAATTTATAAAAACACTAATTTAAGGAGCACACTCTAACAATTTCCCACTTGCGTTAGAGTCAACTATTAACATCTCTAACCTTGCTAGCTCTCGTATGTTTATCATACTTTTGTTAAGAAATGACCTTAGTGAACGGATTGGTTGCATACCCCTATTCGCTTATAATCGTAGTTCCGAAAGTGATTTATATCATATTATAATATAAATAAGTGGTGGTTTTAATTTTTTTTCAACAATTAAAATTTATTTTTTTATTTGTTTTGAAAATTAAAGTGTTTTCTATTATTAAAACTTAATTTTTTTTATTTATTTTGACGCACTGATGGATAATGTTGGAAATTTTGAGTAAGGATGAAGGAAAAAGTTTGTAGTACAAAGCACTAATTTGGAAAAATTTTCAAATTCTAGACTTTTATGGAATTAACTTTCTAACTCCCTAAATGGTTTTTAATTTTTTGAAACCACCCTATGGCATTTTTCCTAAAAATCAATTGTTGTCAGGCTCCTTCGTCTCCCCCTAGTTTATTTGAGTGGTTTGTCCTTTGACTTTTGTTGCGTGTTATTCATATCAGATCAGATTGATGTTTGGATGAATATCAATGCCAAAACTAGAAGGTTGGTATCTTTATAAAGGAAGGGCGATCGGCATGGGGGTGGGTGGATCGTAGTCTCTTGTCTGTACTGGTATTTACGAATACCCTCACCTTGTACGGTATGTTTTGGTTAGAGGAAGAAGCAATTCTTTTATGAAATTTGGTTAGTGGTTAACTTTATTGAGAAAGTTTGTGAATTTTGTAATTAAATTTTATTAAGATTGTAAATTTGTTTATAATTTGTAAGAAATGGATATTAATAAAGTTGTTGGGAAGATGTTAAATGGGTTTTGAGCATATTTGGGTTAGCTTATTGGAGCTTCAATTTTTTAATATTATTTATATTTTATGAGTTTAAATTTTTTTGTTGAAAACTTACATTTTAAAATTTTTTTAATTTTAAAAAGATCCTAAACAGTAAAAACTCAAAAGTTTCATACTTTTATTTTTCATAAACTTTATTTTTACTAACTTTACTCTCGTTTTTTTCAATCTTTACAAGTAATTTTTAAATTTTTCCTCTAATAAAAATTAAATTTATTACTCATAAAAAGTACTAAAAAAGCAAAAACTCAGAGAAGCTAAATCAAGCAGGCCCTTATACTAGATAAGTTGGAAAAGCTTTTTTCCTTTTAAAAATGTCAGAAGAAAAAAAATGCTTATTAAAAATTATGTCTAAGAAAATAAAAATAAAAAAATAATCAATTTCACTCTTCTTTTATTATAGTATTAATGGGTGAAATACAAAAATAATCCCAAAAATTCAAATTATGAGAAAGTTTTTCCCAACCAAATGTGCTTTAAAAAAAGGTTTTTAACATGTCCCTAAATTAAAAGTACCATTTTTTTTATATATACACATAAACAATATAAAAAACCAACATTAATTTTACTATTGATACCAAGTAGATGAATTTAATTAGATAGTAGATAAATTAAATATCAATTTTTATATTTTCAATACAAATTTATAATAAAAAAATATATTTATTATACTATTAAGGTGTATGTTAAAAAAATCTTTGAAAAATACTGTAAATTGTAAGGAGAGAATTACACACAAAATTGACTTTTATTCACTCATGTAAAATTATTATGATATAATTTATTGTAAATATTTCACCTTCCTTATCTTCCACCTCCATGCAATTAGAGACCAAGTAATGGTAATTAACTCTCCACTTCTTCATGCGTGTAATGAAGATTGATTCCTCACTTTTTATACATTTACTTAATAATCAATTACTATTTAATAGAAAAGTTATTCTTGTAACTCTTCTCATTCTCCTAGCTATATAAAGTTTGGAACTTGTGAATTGATAAGGATGAAAAAAAGAAGAATAAAAACTCTTCATGGCCTCTTCCTCCCCTTATCTCCATTTCATACTTCTACTTTTCTATTTCTTTATTTTAGAACAATATATATATATATATATATATATATTTGACTCTCTTGTTTAAATGATAGGAATTGTTTATTTTTTAAGAATTGTGACTATTTGTAACTACTGATAACTGATATATAATGGTTGATATAGTTTTTGAAATCAGTTAATAAAAATATCTTTTCAAACATTCTTAAATGGTTGAAGGCCAAAAAAAAAAAAAAAAACGACATTCTCAACTACTTCTACAGAGGAAGAACAGTTATAGGCTATGATTATTAGCCAACTCAAACAAAGCTTTCTCATTTGTTAAATAAAGGATCTGATATTTTTGAATATCCAAGGATCAAATAATTTTCTTTTTGATTTTACAAAATGAAAATTTATTAGTTCCACAATCAGATTGTGAAACTAATATAGTTCTCAGTTTCTAGCTGTAAACACAAAGCAAAAGTGCCACCGTTTTGAAAACAGACACAAGATGGACATTATTCATCAAAATGCGACTTAGGTACCAAAAGTCTGCAAAGTCCATGGATAGTCGGCTTTAACAGAACTACTCAGTCTTGGCCGGTTGCCATGGTTGGTACCTTGTCCAATCTCTCTGCCCAGGATTAAGTGCATGTCCCTTAGAATGATAGATATACTCATCACCCTCACCAGAGAAATTTTCCTTGTGCTCAACCCCATACCTTTTAGGTTTCAGCATCAGAAGCTGCAACAAATGCATTACCTTTTCAATATGAATTTCTCATCCATTATATAATATAATATAAGCAAACACAAACAGGATTTGCCTCATCCCCAGTATGGTCAGTTACGTAATGAAGCCAGCCATGCCATTCTGGTGGCACCTGTGAAGCATTATAGCGTCCTTTCTCAGCATATTCAACCCATCGATGTCTTCCTATAAAATCCAATAGTAAACAAATAAGGCATTAATTGAGTATATGAGAACTACTAATCAATTGCGCTCCCCTCCCCTTAAACCAAACATACATGAAATGTTTTTCTTTCAAGCAGTGAACATATTCAGCTTAACTGCAGTTCATTTTTATGTTTAACTCCATTTATGCATGAACATAATTTTTGGATGACATGGGCATCCAGGCCTTTACATATACTAATTCCAATTAACTGCAAACCTCCCCATACTAGAGGATGGGGCAAAGCGCCACCCTTGAGAGTGGCAATCGTGGCCCATTAGAATTCTTTGCACCCAAATGGTAATAGAGGGACTTGAACTTGCATTCTCAGGCATAGTTTGCATCCATCCTTAGCCCTTGAGCCAATCTTAATCGGTTATTAATGCAGGAACATGTAGAGCATGGAGAAGAAAACCACTTGGTTTTTTCTCAGGTTGACTCATTACCTCATTTGGAACTTTTTTTCTTCTTTAAGGAATAAATTAATAGAATGTTTCCGTTCTGTTAAACACACAATTATGCTGCCCTTCTTTAAAACTTATAAAGTTCAACTATAACATTTTTAAATCACTTTAAAAGCACCAATACAAGTGCTCCTTCCACTACACAGGAGAAATTTATAGATTAAAGACTGCTAGTGCTCCTAATACTAGGCAAGAGGACTTTAAGGAATATGCAATTTTCACCATGACCAAACTCAAAAAAAAGAGACCATGCAAAGCAGGCATGCAGCATAAAAAATACTTTCAAAAAAAAAGAAAAAGAAAAGAAGAGCAAAACAAAACTATTTGCAACCATTTCCACATTCCATGAAAAAGAAAATCACTAACTTTTCTTTCATTTTACAGCCAAAAAGACTATCTTTCATCTTGCCTTTCAATCAAATTATTATAGCCAGGAAGTGGCATTATGACATCCAAGGTACTCTTTGGGATACTTCTAAATTTTGGAACCTAATAACCAAACACTGGCAACTTATTAGCTGGAATTCTTAGAACTGAAACAAAAACAACCTATTTGGTCATTCCTTCAGCGTTCTTTTTATTGTTTCTTTTGTTATGACTAAATAATAACAACAACAACAAAATTCTTGCTTGGTATTCACTTATATTTTCTGAAAATCAAAAAAAAAAAAACCAAATTATTTACCATCAAATATTCTGGTGATGATTTCAATAACTTTAGCGGACTGTGATTTTCGCTCACAAACATAGGATGACCCATGTTAAAGCATGGTGAAATGAACTACTGAGTAGTAGAAAATAAAAAATAACATAGTTACCAAAAAAATAAAGTTTCCTAAATGCAGCGTAAAGCAATCAAAGTCAACAGACAATAATTTTTTACCTTTCACCATGAATTCACGGTGCATTTGAATCAGAAATGAAAGAAAAGAAACACTAACCGTATTGTGTATCACCAAGTTTCTCATAATACTTGTTGCCAAATTTATCAACACCAACGAGCGATGCCCCTATGTTGTGGATTTTAGTTTGCCTAAACAATTAAAAAAATTAAATTAAATTAAATTAAAACATTACAGATATGGGAGAGAAGACCTGAGGTCCTGATGTGATGTGTTATATGAATGAACTTCAAAAATCAACAATCAAAGACATAAATGAAAACTAAAACATTATTTGGATGGAAGCCCTAGCTTCAAGAACTGGAGCTAAAAATGAATTATCCTACAAACACTAAATGAATAAATAATATCAAATGAAGAGTGTTTAGACCATGCAGCCGTGCCTAAGTTCATATAACAATTCAATGAGAATACACCAAATTTTCCCAAAAGTATAACTTGTGCTAACTTATCAAAACTAGGTGAACCAAAAGACTTTAATTACTAGCTGACATAAAATCTGCAAGTAAACAGTAAAGTGCTAAACCTATTAACCACATCAGCTGTCAGTGGCTAGTAAAATTGATACATTCATTTTTTTAGTTTTGTGGTATACAGCAAGATTTTGATCAATAAAAATGGCTACTTAGGCTAAATAATGAAGGGAGTGTATTATCATAGACGAAAATTAATGGAGAACAGATCAATAAAATACATATAAAGCTTTTTTCTATTTTTCCTTATAGGTGGCAAAATAACCATAATATCAACTACAAAAATGAGAATTTTGACTTACAGAAGATTACCGTCGGGGAGGCACCTCCTGACACATGCAAACAGAAATTGTAAACAGACGAATACGTTAGTTTATCCCATTCAGAAAACTAAAAATCATTTCTACTTTGGTCTTTTGGGAACTAACAACATTGCAATTTCTTTTTCTTTTTCTCCTAGATCGCATGATAATAAAAATTAAGAAAATATTATACATAAGAAAGAAGTGAGATCTATGCAGTTCCTAAAAATCAGTGGAAAAAGGGATGAATCAAAACAGATACAGACACCCGAAGAAAATTCAGAAATCAGGGATGATTTCTGTGATTTTCTTGAAAAGAGAAATGAAGAGAGGGCATACAAATAGCCTTCGTCCTTGAGTTCCCTTAAGAAGATGCCAAGGCCTCTCTCCCTGATCGCCTTCAACGCGTTCTTCACCACCGACGACGCCATAGATCTATATTCCTCTCTCCTGCTCTCTTCTTCCTCTTCTAAATGTAATTTCAACCGTTTGCATTAGATATCGCAAATGGGTGGGTCGGACCGCCGGAAGGTTGAGTTTGGTTTGGTTCGGTTTGGGTAACAATTCACGCAGGTGCAAAGAGGAAATGCATATTGAGAAGTGTAAACTCCTGTACTGAGAAAGAATTTTCCATCTACTAAAAAAAAAAAAAAATTCAAGCATCCACGCATATTGAAAGTTTTTTAAATTTGATATTTAATTTTACAAGTTCATATTTTAAATTCTAATTTTAAGGAAATTTAATGGCAAATAAAATCGTTTTTTTTTTAAATGAACGGTAAATGATTATATTAAAAAATAGACAAATATTATCAAAAAATTTTAGGTACAAAGGGGCAAATGCTTTGATCAAATATTGAAGAGTTAAATTTAATAAATAGTCTATTAATTTTGTAGTTTATTTAAATTTAGTTTAGAAATATTTTTTTTTTTTCAAAATGAGTTATAAGCTATCAATTTTATTTCAAAATAATCTATTTGACAAGTTATCTCGAAACTTTTGAAAAATATTAAATATAGTATATATTTTTTTTGTAATATTTTGTTTTTAAAATTTAAATTCTATGTCAAATGTAATAATTAAAAATATAATACATGCATGATTTTAATTTGGGAATTTATAAAATTGAAATGAATTTTTATTTTTTTTAGGTTATTTTAATTATGTGCTAGTGCTTATTTAATTAAATTAAATTTTAAAATGGTTTACTAATTAAAAATATTAATATTTAATAATAAATTAAATTTTTTTAGAAATAATAAAATTTAAATTATAATATTGAGCATTGTAAATTAAAATTAGAATCTTAATTAATGTAAATTGAAATTTCATCTTAGTTAATTATTACATTTGACAAAAAATTTAAACTTCAAAATAAAATATTGTAAAAAATAAAAATATATGTACTATATTTAACATTTTTCAAAAGTTTAGGAGGCAATTTGTCTACTCCAACTTGTCTTGACAAACATTCTGTTAATCTAGTTAACAAAATGTTTGTCAAATAGATCATTTTGAAATAAAATTGATAATTTATAGATCATTTTAAAAGAAAAAATTATTTCTAAACTAAATTAAAATAAATTACATAGTTAATGGACTATTTATTAAATTTAACTAATATGAAAGAATCTTGAAGCTCAAAGCCCATGCTCATATGGTTTCAATCATTGTTTTAAAAATCAGACCGCATCAATCAATTAAACCGATCAGACCGACACCATAAACAGGTCGGATAAGTGCTGGGAACTAAGGGTTGCAATTTCTCCCGATCTCCATGGGGCTCCGCGGGGATCCCCGTCACGGGGACGAGACAGGGATGGGGATTTTCTCCCCGCGAAATTTCGTGGGGACTTTTCCTTGCCCCGCAGGCCCCGTGGGAATCCCCATCCCTACGAAAAATTAAAAAAATGTATATATTAAATTTAATTTAACCTTTAAAATAAAACCCAAACCCAACCCAAACCTAATTCAATAAAAATTAAAATTTACCCAACTCAATGCAAATACCCAACCCAACCCATCATCCTCCTTCCAACCCTAATTTCCTAACCTTATTATTTCCCTTTCTCCTCACTCACGCAACAGTGCAGCCACAACCCTCACTTCAGCCCCTCACTCACTCTCAATCTCAGTTGGACAATCAAATTCTCACCTCACCTTTGACCTTCCCCTCCCCTTCTTGCTTCTACAATTTCTCCTCACTCACTCTCACGATCTCACCTTCAATTTTCCCTGTTTGTTGATTTAATTATTTATGTTAAATTAATTTTTATTTATGTTTGATGCAAAAAATATACTTTGGTATTAATTGGTGGGGAATGGGGATCTCCGCGAGATCCTTGTTCCCTGTTGGAAATGGGGATAGGGGGCAAAATTTGCCCCCCGTTAAAAATCCCCGCGGGGATCCTCGTCTCCGCCATTCGCGAGGAAGGGGATGAGGAGGGGCTCCCCGGCCCCGCGGGACCCGGTTGACATCCCTACTGGGAACCCTTTCAAAACCAACAAAAACACTCGAACCAGTGTAAACCGTTAAACCATTCAACTGGACAGTTTAAAGTTCTCTGAGGCTCAAATAGAAGACTTCAAAGAGACTTTCAGTCACTTCCGCCATTAAGACATGACCCGTTGGATTGAAACGAGCTTAAACTTTTATTTGTTTTACTTTTAGGAAGAATAGAATTGGTTTTCAGCACAATCCAACTTTGAAAATTAATATAATATTTATCTAATTGGCATTTTAAATATACAAATTAAAAATATAATAAATAAAATTTTTATAATTAATTTATATAATTATAATTAATTTAT